CAATTGGTTGCTTGAGTGGCAGAGCCTGGCAGACAGCAAAACAAACCGGACGTGTTACAAGATTGTATTTCATGGCCTAATAGGGATGATAGGACAAAAAACAACGTGCATATAAGATTAGAAACAACAGGGCATGTAAGCAATAGTTACAAGCATTATACAATAGTTACAGCAATTGAAAGTGAAAAGGTGTAAAGGAAAAAAAAAGAAAGAATTAGAGCAAATGCTTCTCAAGCAAAGTAACACGCTGGATAATCGTGCAGCACACTCTAAGCCAAAAATGGCCAAAATGGGAGCAACGGCTGTTTTTACTCTTTCAGACAGACTGTTACTCTCCGAAAAGACCAATCGGAACAAGATGGCCGACTTGTTCGAGAATGGGGGAGCAACTGTATTCATCTTAAGTTTGTAAGAGAGCAACGGAAGGAAGAACCGCTGTAAACGCTCTCGTCACGCAACGGTTACTCCCCGGCAGGACACCGCACACAAATATGCATGCCGCCCACATTGATATTCATGGGCCAGATTATTGTTTGTTCTGTGTGCCAAAGTTCATCAAACCAAAACAGTGATTTATTTTAGCATCCGTAGATAATAAGATAGCAGCGCTGGCTGAACACAGAAGGCCTGAGAATACAGTACGGCAAATACCTAACACACGCAGCAGCAGAATAGAGAGTTGGCACGTCAAAGCGGACCGAACGCCGAAACACGTGCAAAACAACGATAAAAAAGCCTAGACACGCCGTTCGTCCGCGAAGTAAGGGCGTCAAAGTCGATCAAGCACCGAAACACGTGCATAAGGAGCCCCCCCCCCCCCCCCCCCGCCCAGATATATCGGAGAAAAAAAAAAGCGGACCCAGACGCGCTTCTCATCAGCCATTCACTTAGTAGCACGCTTCACCGTGTAGTTTGAGGGCAGAATGACAAATCTGCGCCATCTGCGCCCGCACGACAAGTGTGGCGCTAGTGTAGCAAACGATGTAAGTTACAAAGTAATTTTTATTCAGTGTTTATGTTGACTAGCACTAAATAGAAATTACACTCAACTTTTTAAATTTATTTATGAGTTTCAGTGTACCTCAGTTTTTTTTTTATAATTGTATTAGGAGAACACACTGAAATTATTGCGCTGACGCCTGTGCTGCCACTGCTCGACGTTTTTTTTTTTCGGCGCAACTAGGTTCGCGTTCGCACTACTTACTTATTTTCATATGGTCTGTGGTTGGCGAGCACATGGACGTGCGAGCTTGTGAGCTATGTTTTGATCATGTGTGTGTGTGTCGCAGATTTGCGTTTCTACTTATTCGTGATGAAGGTTAGTGTATATTTATCTTTATGGAGCGCGAAGTAGTTGTGGATTTTGCTGCTGGGTGGAACAAACACATCGTAAACACGTCTTCAGCTATCTGCAAGCCTGTTCGCTCGTCGGACAAAGGACTGTGCATGCATCAGCGTGCAGGTGAGTGGCATTTCCAGCAACATTTAATGCTCTTACAATACATTGTTGAGTGGTTGCGCTATTGAAAGAGAAATGATTTGCTCTTATTCACCGTATCCATTGCTAGCCGTATCGGACTAAATTACCTCTATTACCGCCTGCATACCCTCTTGCTTCCCCTGTCACCACTGCAGTGCCAGTGTACTTTTGCAGTTAAAAGTTCATTTCCGCAACACTACCTCGCTTGAAAAAACATTGGGGCGGGGTTGTAGCTGCATTCATACTGGCACTTTTCTACCATTGGCTTTATGTAATGTTAACGGCCGAGTGTTGGGGCCTTGGGCCACATTTTTTAGAGATGTAAAGTGTATGCAAATCAGTAAGTGAACATATCATTGTCGCATCACTTCACTGGCATAGCCAGGCGGTTGCGCACAGAATTTTTTTTAGGCCGGGTGTAGGGAGCCCAAATTGATGACCATATTCGCTTGCCCGGCCTATTCAGATAAGCGCCCCCCCCCCCCTCCCCGCACGCCTGAAAAAAAAAAAAATATGCCCACATCACTGCGTCACTTGCTTCACCTCTGCGCTGAACGTACTATCTTATAAGCGCACCATCCAGCGAGCAGTTTACATATTGACAGAACAATTGGAGGAGGAATGACCCAAATCTTTCAGATTTCTTTAGTGATGCAAAACCTTAGCAAAACTGAATATTGTAAAAGACAATCATAAATGCGGTATGTTCTCGTTAGCGCTGTCATTATTCTGCATCATGAAATCTTTATGCGCTGTGAAAACTTGGCATGCCGTTGAAGTCACATATCGACGTTAATACCAATCGTCGAAAATATCGACAACCTCAATAACGCCGTTTGGGATTTGCCGCATGCACATAATTAGGCTGATTCCCACTTGGCTGTTCTTAACCTGACTTCACTGCTACGAAATGAAACAATATTTGATGCATGTCTTTTACTTTTTTTTCAGGGATATGACACAAATTTGGTTATACTGCAGATAAAGATGCTCCCAACGATGCCAAAGTACAGAAAGCAAGTGAATTTTGGTAAGTGCAGACTTTTTATACTACGTATATGAAAGCATCGCTTTTTAGGGGCAAACTGTGCATGTGTTGGCCAGAGAATAGTTCATTATGCCACATGGTTACACTGGCACTGACAACTCGACATGGCTCCGCTGGCCCGTGTGTGTGCTCACACTGTTACCGTTAAGATAAAATGTTTATGTTTTCATTGCAGGGATTGCTGTTTGTACTAAAAAGCCAACTGCCTAGATTTGTTTACGCTGGTACTCCTAAAAGTATGCTTTCCCTATTTACATGGATTTTGGCTTGCACAAAGCATAACACTTGGGCCTAGATTCACAAAGCTGTCCATGCGCAGGCCTTCATAACAGCGTTTCTTGACTTGCCTTTACCCTGTTTTCTGCAGATGTTTCGTGGGTTTAAAAGTGCCACAGCATGTTGACCTCCCCCACTCTGAAATATTCGCGTTCAAAGTTCCGCAAGAGTGGGCTTAACTTTCTTGTGCACCTCTTTGCTAGTCCAAGATACTGACGTGTTATGCTCTTACTAGAGGTGGCAGTGTTTCTAACGTTTGTATTTCCATCACATTGACCAAGTATGCGATCTTGGCTTGACTGGTAGCACATCCTCAACAAATGTCTTTGTGGCACATGTAGAAGGCAGTACAAAATAAATAGGCAGACATTCACACCGGGAGCTAACTTCTAATAATGCTTTTTTTTTTGAAAGCATGGTGTGCTTATTCCAATTTGTCTAACAAGCAGTAACCTGTTTGGCTGTGAACCAACAAGACGTTGAACTAATAAAAGCTTCACATCATGTTGCTCTCAAATATATATGTATTGGCAAGCTATCTGTGACACTGTCAAACAATGAATCAGAATATCTGTGCATGCCTTAAGATATATTGCTTCGTTTACATACCTCGTGGCTGTGACTCGTCAACCGAGTGAACAAATGCACCCTAGTTTTCTAAATTTAAAGCATTTTTTGAAGGTAGCACGGTCTACATTTATTTGTCCATAGTTTTGTCCAGCTGTTTCCGTCAGGTACAAAGAAATATACTGAAGATTATCATGTAGCCTCTGCAAATGGTTGCTTTCAAGCAGGCTTTGCATGCTTGGCTTGTGCCTACAGGTATTGCACAATGCAAGACGCAGCAGCGTATGATAGAACAGTAGAATCGAGAGCAACTATGTGCACGAGCTAAATAAGTATTTTAACATGAGCGGACAGTACGTGTTATTTGCCACACACATGACCTCATTTAGAATGCCCATTGGTGAATGGGCTCATAGAAATGTCGCTCAGCTGTGTATAGGAAACAAGTTAACTGAACCTAAGGGTATCTTTAACTGCTACAAATATGCCTTGTTGAGGTGCTGCACATTTTCTTCCAGAATATTGCTGTCTGAGACATCATGTGAAGAGCGTCTACCACATCAGCATTTATATGGCTTGCCAAGTAACGTTTGGCCGAACCTTCCTTTTTTTCACATTTCGTTTTGCAGTAGACATCCTAGAATGTAAGCGCTGCTGCAGTGTGTGTGACTCATTGTTATGAATTGATTCTGGCATGTTTAACCTCACACTTCTATTTTTTTTCTTGCAGCAATGAGATGCTTCACATATGCCTGCGGTGACGTTCTGCTGCGCTAGCCTGATGGAAACACCAGCTGCGAAACTTGAGTTCTTCAGAATTGGAGAAGTTGCCCTTCTCTCACCAATGATGACACAGACTGCCCTATGCTAGAAATTCAAGATTGTTTTTCCATGGATGACGCAGAAAACCTTTGATGTATTATGGTGTTTGTTTAGTGCTGGCTGTGGTGTGGCGAAGTCTACTTTTACGTGTGGTCACACGTCGCCTCATAAAAAGAACAATAAAGCATTTATTTTCCTTTCAATATTGTCCACTTTTTGTGTTAGAAGCACCCAAGCAGTGCTCTTCCAAGGAGCTCTCGCCATGTGTTAAGCGTGTGACAAGCATACTCGAGATAAATACTAATTTCCCCAAGGAGTAACTGGAAGCATGTGCAGTTGGTTTTCAAAGAGTAACTGCGAACACGTGAGAGGAACGGTAAAGAGTAACTGTTGCTCTTAGAAGAGCGACTGGTGGGAGTAATGGTTGGTCGGCAGGGAGCAACTGGTGGGAGTAACTGTTGGTCTGCAAGGAGGAACTGGAGGGAGTAACTGTTCATCCCCCGAAGGAGGAACTGAAAGGAGAGCAACGGTTCCTCCCTCTGCAGTTACTCCTTTTAGGAGAGTAATGGGAGTGGCAATGCAATTGCTCCCTGAAAGGAGCAACCCTTATACCCCTGTTGCTCCGTTTTGGCTTAGAGTGCATCGTGCTGGCGAATGAGTGTATGTGAAATAACACACGACATGCATTACAATTGTAGATAGATACGCCGTAGCAGTTTCTTTAATTTGTATTTTGTTTTTGTGCGAAAAATGCTGGGGGAAAGTATACATTGAAATAGGTTGTTTGGTCGTGTTACAATCCTGCAGCCCCCGGTTGCCGCCTTCCGACCCGGGACCTCCTACCGCGCGGCACCGTGGAGAACGTCCGTGGCCGGGGCCTGATGCTGCGCTTCCGCTGCCGCCTCGGCTACTCTCTTCGTGGAGGCGCGACGGCCTTCTGCGACGGCCGCGCCTGGAACGGCTCCGGACCCGTGTGCCTCCGTGAGTAACACATCTTGCTCGAAACAGAGGCGTGTGTGTTGCATTTTCTTGCGGCGATGGCCAGCTGAAACAAACACTGAAAGGCGGGCTGGCTGATATGAGTTACTCCTACCACTACCGCGACTGGCTCTACTACCTACTGCTGCTGGTGCTGCTACAGCTAACCTACTGAAGTGCTGCTACTGAAGTGCTGCTACTGAAGTACTGCTACGATGAAGACGGCACAGGGCATGCTAATACCCTTGTTACACGGGTACGATAACGTCGGCTAGGACTAACCTCACTTAAAGTTTACGATATAAAAGTATGTTTTTTTGTCTTCAAGAGAATAAATATCAGATGCCCATACCTTCAGTCTATATAAACGCTACACAAACAGCCAAGATTATGCGTAAAACAATTTCAAACGGGCTACGTCAGGACAGCGCGTTTGAAGCACGTTTGTGCTGCCTTGAAGGCAACTTGAAGGCTTATATTCTAGTCCAGCTCCAAGTAAAGGTGACAAAAAATCAAGCACCACCGTAACGCGAAAGTAAATCAATTCACACTGTTTTATAACAGAATTTGCTTTCTTGCTTTGGGATAAGTACAAGTTTTCTTTTTCTTTTCAACACACGTTTGACAATCATGCACCGGTGGCATCGCAACTGCCTTGACCGAAAGACGCTTGGCTAACACGAACAACGCACGTTGCGCTGCTGTAACGTGGAGCGTTTGAGTGGAACGGAGGTGGTACTGGAGAGTCGGTCAGCTAAAAACCCTAGATGCGAAGAAGCTCTTTGACGCACGTACGTGTGTAACGCCGTACGTACGTGCGTCCGTACGAACTCGCCGCAAGGCTTTCTCTTTGCCGCAGGTGTTGGTTCAGTGCCAAGTAGGTCACGTTGTACCTATGCTTCCCTCGCAGGTGCGCGCTGACGAGATTTCGTCAATGGTCACAAAACTGGAGGTGCTTGATCTGAAGTGCTTGGAAGAACAGCAATGTTAGTCGGTGCTCGTACAGCTAGAATGAATGAATGAATAAGTGAACGAATGTTCTTTATTGCACATATCTCCTTCGAATTATGTACCAAGCGCATGGTCCCGTACCTAAATGCTAGAGCGAGGCCTTTTTTGGATATATACTTAACAGGAACGTGATAATTGTTATAAAGGTAAAGAAAAATAGAAAAAAATGATACTGTCATGCAAGAAATTGTTTGACTATCCGCAACAGTGAATTGAACTCGCATAAACGAAGGGAAAAAAGTGAACAAATAATGATCAACCGATTCAGTTTGCGAGCAATAATGGCGAGACGAGTACATTTCTTGCTTCCCTCGGCAGCGAGCATTTCGGACCCCGACCCGTCGTGCGACTTCGAGGCTCTTGACCAGTGCGGATGGTCATCCGACCTGAGCAGCGGAGTCCAGTTTTCACGGCAGCATGACCACGAAGACGATGACGTGGAGCCCGCTGACAACGTCACCAGTATCGCCGGTGAGTATCAAACATCCTCCCGCCCGCTTGGTCGCGAGCTCAGCGCACGTCACGCATCAGCGTACCCACCGTTACTATAGAATGGACTTTTATTCTAGTAACGTTGAACGTACAAGCGTTAAAGAACTCAAGTCAGCGTGAAGTTCTGTCGGCGTCGGCGGCGGGGTCGTTAGCTGTAATGGGAAAACTGGAGATAAATGAAAATAAGTATATTGTAAGTATCTTTGGCTGAATTTATAATTAAACCCAGGCTTTCTCCGCGGAAAGCAATGATCTACTACGGTAGACACATCAGTGCTTCTAAGGCTTTTGTAAAAAAGAACTTTTATGAATACTGGAAGTTTTAGAATAGGGTACGCAAAGCTTTGTGTACGCTGTTCGTTGGGGCCGTGGTCGCTGCGCATGCACCATAACGCTAACCGCCGTTAGCGTTCGCAGTTCACCCGCAGAAAATCCGAAACTGCGTGTGGCCTGCAAGGCCCCTTTGCGGTGATCTCGAGGAGATCGCCCACTCTGGAGGACAAACGCTTTTCGAAAACTCGTATCACATCGATACCCATATGCTACGCCCACTAACTGAGCGTATACGCTATTCGAAAACTCCCTCTTATGCAGTGACTCTTTAACGCATTTGGTATCGCCTGGCCCAAGCGTATCATCGCAACAGAGGTAAAAAAAATTGGCCTGAATCTACATGTTGCACTGAAAATGTCCTCGAAAGACGATAGTCTTGCGTCTGGAGAGAGTGAATAAAATGTTTATTTGATGTTCTGCGCAAGAAAATCTGTGAATGGTATTCTGAAGGCGCTGCGTTTGAATGGCTCGAGTGTAACGCGGAGGCGAACAAGCGCAACTAGGCACGTTAGACACGAGCGCCATCTGGCAATTATCTTCGAAAACTAAGGCGTGCGCGACCGCGGAGAAAGATGCGCACCAGTCTCGGAGGTGATAAGGTGTCGAATGCAAAGCGACGGGCAGGTGTCACCACCTTGTCGTAGCAAAGCGTTGAAAACACCTTCTTGAGCATCGCGTTGCACTGTCAGCGCCGCGAGATAAATGCTACAGTCCTTAGAGTTACTTGTGTGTGCCTCTTCTAGTATAAATGCAAACATACAAAACATAGACGTGTTGTTATGGCGCCTCAAATATGAGCAATATTTACTTTTTTAATTGACAACTGCACAATTATGAACGCTAAACCTTGAGCAATATCGGAGTGCGCTGCAGATGGGGTTGGCCGTTTGGTGCAATTTCAGGTATCGTAAGGGCAAACGAACAGCCAAATCTACAGACAGACAGACCAAAATTTTTCTGTCGAAGGTCTCCAAGAAAGACTATCGTCTTTAAAAAAACGTGTGAATTACGCAAAAAAGTGGGTAGCATAAAGCTGCCCACCCAGTATACAAAGATTGTAGCTGTGGAGATACGTGTGTCTTGTTACGCACGCATAGTGACTACTGCGCCAATTCACAAAAGCAAGAATCGCGGCGGCCCCGCCACGGTGGTCTAGTGGCTAAGGTACTCGGCTGCTGACCCGCAGGGCGCGGGTTCGAATCCCGGCTGCGGTGGCTGCATTTCCGATGGAGGCGGAAATGTTGTAGGTCCGTGTGCTCAGATTTGGGTGCACGTTAAAGAACCCCAGGTGGTCTAAATTTCCGGAGCCCTCCACTACGGCGTCTCTCATAATCATATAGTGGTTTTGGGACGTTAAACCCCACATATCAATCAATCAATCAATAATCGCGGCGAAGTGGGTCACTCGCTACTGCACTTGCTGTAGAAATTCTGCGATAGTACTGCACGCCGAAAGTTACGAGCAACCCTCCCCCCATCTTTTAGGGGACCTTCGACGCAAAACTTTTGGTCTGTCTGTCTGTCTGTCTGTCTGTCTGTCTGTCTGTCTGTCTGTCTGTCTGTCTGTCTGTACACGTCTATTTGTCCACTCTTACCAGCATCGGGTACTTTAAACGGCCGACCCCATCCGCAGCAACTACCAATGTTGCTCAAGGTTGAGTGTTCATGCTTGTGCAATTGTCAGTTAAAATGCAATTATCTCGCATGTCTGGGGCAGCATAACAACACGCGTATATTCTGCATATGCATCTCTTACTAGCACACGCATATATAAGTAATTTGAAGGACCGTAGCGCTTATCACGCTGCGCTTACCATGCAACGCTTGCACGGAACGGGGAGTATTTCCAACGCTTTGCTAAGACGAGATGGTGGTGGCACCTATCCCGTCGCCTCGCGTTAAACAGCTTATCACCTCTGAGACGGGCGCGCATGGCCACGCGCTTTGTTTTCCAGAAGAAACTGCCAGAGTGGCGCTCATGTCTCACGTGTGACGTGACTTGATGCGTCCGTTCGCCTCCGCTGCACGCTTGAGGCACTCTAACGCAGCGCCTCCGGATAGCATTCACCGATTTTCTTGCGAAGAACATCAAATAAATGTTTTGTTCACTCTCTCCATACGCAAGACTATCGTCTTTCGACGACATTTGCAGATTACATGCAGATACGAGGCCAACTTTTTTCTTACGGCAGCGGTTGAAGGTGATGCGGGTGGGGCCTTATAGCTCAATGCGCTTTACACTTGTAGGCGAAGCTCGACCATGCTGGTGTTTTCATCGCGATGCGAGGCATATTCTGGAAAGAAATGTGGTGTTTCAGAAGTCATTCTTAAGAAAGCATTAAAACAATTTGCTAGTTAAAATTGATTATTCTTATAGTAATTCCATTTCTATTCCTAATGTAGAGAATGCAAACTAGAGAAGCAGTTTGTTACGCAAGCACTAAAAACGATTTCGGAGCTGAAATTAAGGAACAGGTCTCTTCACTGACATAGCGTAGCAGCTAAAAGCTGTTACATAAAATTAACACACAAAAGCCAGCATATAAAAAGCTGTCACATAACAAATAAGGTGATATGGGCACTAGAACAGTAACTGCATGGTGTTGAAAATGTGTACATGTTTAACGACCCCTACCGGATTTGCTCAAATAATAGCAGAACTCGCAAATGGTTCACTTATTCTCTCTATTACCTCTAACGTTTTCGTACTGCCCTATTTACACACCTGTTTCGATTCATGAAATGCTTGTAGCACTAAAGCAGTTCTTAGAGAAACTTCCAGCAAAAGTTTTTCTCGAATTTCGTTATTCTGGCTTGAAATGATTTCGTGACCCTAGAAATGAGTTATTTTTGCTAAAACATCCACTCAATGTTCTGAAAATTTTGAGTCCTGCTAAGTTTAGAAATATACCTGATAATTTGTTAGATTCGCAAAATAAATTTTATTTATGTAATGTTGTGAGAGCGGCTGTGACTAAGACGCACATCTCAAGGCTTCTCTGCACAATACATTCATGTCCGTTCCAGCAGTGGCCTCTGGATCTTCGCCCTCCGGCCATTACATGGCCCTGGAGAGCCTCGGTCATCGACTTGCGCTTCAGGACCTAAACCTGCCGGCTCAGTTGGTGTCGCCACCTTACCGCCCTCTCAGGTTCCGGGCCTGCTTCCGCTTCTGGTACCGGCTCTCCTGCAACCTCTGTAAGTCGTTAATGACTTCTCTGTTTTGTTCATGTTTATTAAGGCGAAATCATCAAGTGCCTCATGAAACGCGCAATTCGATCATCGGCGTCAGTGTAGTGCAGCGCTAAAGTTACAAGGTGGGCTTCCTGGTACGGAAAACTTGAACAACAACGTTTGCGCAAGGTAACAAGAGACAAGAACACAGAGACAGCGGTAGCACTGTGTGTGATTCTGCGTGTTCTCCTGTGTCGGTGTGTCGGTCACAAGATATGTGAAAAATCGTCACGTGATGACGTCACTGATAGGAAAACATTGTGACGTAATCATCACTTCAGTGTGACGTCAAGGGACATAATGACGTCATCAATGGTCAAAGGTGGTCCGATCTCGGAGGCAGTAAAAGGTAAGGTGGGCCTCCAATCTTGGAGCCAGTGCAAAAACCCGTTAGCTGTAGTAAGCATCAATGCCCCGACTGAAAAGGAGATTACCTTCCAGTCGTCCCAGGTGAATAGATGACGAACCCTGCGAGTATTTTTCGGTGGCTGACGTCACTTTTCAGAAATTAAGTTTTTCAGTTTAACGCTTTGATAGACAGAGAGTGAGTGTGTTTGTGTTTGTATTGCGCTTGTGTTGTGTATCCTGTGTAATGGTTGCCACGCTTCCTACCAAGATGTATGTGAAGAATAGGTGAAATACATTCGCCAATGAAATGGTCACGTACCTTTTCGAGATTACATCTATTTTCAACCCTGCTGATGCCTAGTACAAAAGATTCCGTGAATAGCGTTTGAAGACTGTCATACTGACTTAAGGCAGACGCCGCGGTCAAATGCTCTGAATTGGTTTTGGTCAGCCGAGATTCATTCCTGTACTACAGCAGCGCTTCTGTATTTCATCTCTGTCGAAACGTGACAGCATGGTCACGCGAGTGTGTCCGTGGGCTGCATGACACCATCCCGTTCTCTGAGTATACCGCGTAGAGCTGTGCACGGGACGTTTTGTTGAGCGCGAGCCCTGTCCTGGCTCACCGACGGCGTCTAAGGTCCACCGGAGCCCGATGATATAAGGATGCGAACCCACCCGGCCACGCTCGACGCACAAAAACAGAAGCTGAGCCCTGCCCGGTCGGAATGCTGTGGAGCCCGAGACGATGCAATGGTTTCGTATTCTGGATCAGCAGTGTTTTCTGGGTGACATGTGCGTTTGTGCGGGAAAAAAGCTCGTTCAGCGCGTAAAGTCAGCCATCTTGCAAAACCTCGCAATCATCGTGGACCATCTGTTCGTTTACGCCTGTCACCGACAAACATCATAAATCCCCAACGTGAGCTCAGATTAGTGCGACGCGATTTCAACCTCTGCAAAGAGAAAATATTCCGTCACACTATACTCGGGGGAATATAGGCGTATACAACAATTGAAGGGCTTTACACTATTTATTTATTTATTTATTTATTTATTTATTTATTTATTTATTTCTTTATTTATTTATTCATTCATTTCACGTACCCTCATGGCCCAGAGGGCATTGTTGAGGGGAGTGGTACAGGATCAGGATGTTGAAAGGTGTTCGAATTGTACAAACATTGCACACATATGAGCAAATATACAAAAGCACTGAACAAACAAGTATCCAGCGGTGCGTAGAAGTATACAAAAGTTTAACACAAATCTACACAGGTATTGCCTCTAGCATGAAAAGATAACAAAACTAACATTGACAACTGCATGCATTTGACACATTATAAGGTAAATAAAAACTGTGAAGTTGAAGCTACACAGAAGTGAAGTAATGAGACACTTTTTTCCTAAACTGGTCAATATTGTTAGTAAGCACTAGAGATGGTGGCAGGCGATTCCACTCTGATGTAGTTCTAGGAATAAACGAATTCGAATATGATACAGTGCGACATTTCGAGATACCAACTTTGCAAGAATGATCTATGCGCAATGAAACATGAGCAGGGGGTAAGATAAGAGCAGTTTTAAGGGTGGCGTTCAATTTATAGATTTTAAAGAAAAGGCACATGCGCGATATCTTCCTGCGCAGTGTGAGTGGTTCAAGAGATAGAGTTGCTTTCATTTGCGTTACGCTTGATAAACGGCCGTAATCGTGAAGGATGAAACGCGATGCTCTGTTTTGGGTTGCTTCAAGTGCATTTATTAGTGAATTATTGCATGGATCCCATACTGAAGACGCGTATTCGAGTTTAGATTGAACAAGTGACTTGTACAATAACAGTTTAACAGAAGCGGGGGCTAGAGAAAAATGTCGCCGAATAAAACCAAGCGTCCGGTTAGCATTTAAGATAATAGAGGAGACATGCATATTCCAACTCAGGTCTGCTGTTAAAATAACCCCGAGGTATTTATAGGACGACACTGGTAGCAATGGGGAGCTGCTTATACTGTAAGAGGAAGGGTTTAATTTACGTTGGCGCGAGAACCGCATTACTTTACATTTATTAATATTAAGTGTCATATGCCAAATCGAGGACCAATTATCGATAACGTCAAGGTCCTGTTGAAGCAAAGAAACGTCAGTAGCATTTTTTATTTCGCGGTAAATAACGCAGTCATCGGCAAAAAGTTTCACAGAAGTCAGATTGCTAGGCAGATCATTAATATATATAAGAAAAAACAGTGGACCTAAAACTGAGTCTTGTGGGACGCCTGAAGTGACAGGTAGAGTTGAAGAGTTAAAACCATTAACATGAACAAATTGAGAGCGATCTGTTAGAAAACATTTAATCCACTTAAGAACGTTAGGGTCGATATTCAGTTGGCTTAGTTTGTGAAGAAGCAGGCTGTGGGGAACTTTATCGAATGCCTTACAAAAGTCTATGAATATGCAATCAGCCGCGGAACCATTATCAAGTACAGAATGAAGGTTGTTTGTGAAGGCTACCAACTGCGTTTCACACGAAAATAATTTTCTAAAGCCATGTTGCTCAGGTGAAAAAAATGAGAATGATTCAAGAAATTTTGCCAAGTGGGAAGCGATGACGTGTTCAAATATTTTACAAGAAATACTCGTTAACGAAATGGGGCGATAGTTCGAAGCAGAATGTTTGTCACCAGATTTATGGAGTGGAATCACTTTACCTATTTTCCAGTCATCTGCAATCTCCCCTGACTGAAGAGACTGATTAAATATTTTAAACAATATTATAGCAGAATAAACCGAGGTGTTTTTGAGCACTTTTGTATTAATGTCATCGGGACCACAACTGGAAGATAATTTTAGGCTCTCAATAATGCGTACAATGCCATCAAAATCAAAATGAACAGGGTCCATGGGGAAATCATAATGAGTGTGACAGACAGGGAGTGACGAGTTAGTACAACTGGACAATGCTTTTGCAAACGTGTCATTCAGAGCGGCGGCGCAATCAGCGTTGCTAATTCGGTTTGACTGCAAATCAACAAGAGAAATTGTCGAATCAACTGTATCCTTAATCAGGCTCCAGAATTTTTTAGGGTTTGCGGAAAAAAGTTCAGGTAATGTAACATTCATAAACTTATGTTTTGCTTGCTTTAAAGCTTTCTTATATGTACATACAACATCCTCAAGTGCTGACCAGTGCTCCGGGGCTTTACACAAAACGGCTCGGAATCTGTCTGGTGCCTCGTGAATTTACCCAAGGCAAACAATGTCGTGTTCGGGACATTCTGTGGCCCACCGGGCTGAGGCGAGTCGTTTAAGTTTGCTGTCTGACGTGCTGTCTGTTATGCCTAACAGCATATTTCTCGGGGAATTTTTTGACTTGCCGAATTTTAGTTGGAGTGCGGGATGTGGTTCTGGGGACGGTTCCCGTATCTACTCGGAGTTTGAAGAACTGTTTGGATTGTATGACTTACAACAGTACGTGCTGGAACCTACGCGAGAAAACTCAGTCTTAGACTTGGTGCTTTGCAAAGAACCAAACTCAGTGTCATGGATTACCGTGTGCCCAGGTATTAGCGACCACAGGGCCGTTGTCGTGGAGCTTCGCGTACAGCGTGTACGGACATCTCAGTCTCCACATATAAAAGTGTTCAGCTACGACAGAGGAGATTATGTTGCTATTAAAACTTAACTAGAAAATTTCTTTCCTACTTTCCAGCTTATGTCAAAAGCACGCTGTCCGTTAGCTCTGGGGTCGACATTCCGCGACAGAATACTCGGATTGGTCGAAAGTCATGTTCCATTTAGGTACTCGCGTAAAAATAAAACGCATTAACCTTGGTTTAACGCAGAAACACGCAAACTTGCCAGGAAAGCTAGACACTCGTATAAAATATTTTCTGCTAATTCTAGTTTGGAAAGCCACAAGTGCCTAGATGAAATAAATAATATATTAAAGTAACAATTAAACCTGCGAAATATGTTTTTTTTTTGTTAAATTAGGTAAAGACCGCAAAGAAAACCCGAAGTCATTCTGGAAGTATGTAAAGCAGAACCGGAAAGAAGATGTATCTATACCAGCCTTAACTGTCGATGGCAAAGCCGTGACATCAGACTACCACAGGGGCGGAATGTTTCAATCCGTATTTTCAATCAGTTTTTTCGCATGAAACTGCCGAACAGCCATTTCTTATGAACAATGCCGCCCAAAACAATATGCTGCCAGACATTCAAGTTGATGTTAGTGGCGTCGATTCATTATTACGCCGCTTAGGTGCAACAAAAGCCATTGGACCGGATGGACTGTTCCCAATAGTTATTAAAGAGTGTCATGACATTATTGCTCTATATTTAGGTATAATCTTTGAACTCTCCCTCGAAACTGGTCTTATTCCCCAAGCTTGGATGACAGCAAACGTTACAGCCGTTTTCAAATCTGGAGATAAAAAACTCAGAGAAAATCACAGACCAATCTCATTAACGTCGGTGTTTTGCAAAATATTTGAAAACATTTCACATACCAATATGTTTAATTTTCTTGATTCAGACGTTTTCTTTACTCCCTCCCAGCACGGTTTTCGGAAAGGTTATTTCTGTAACACACAACTAGTAGAATTTCAGCATTTCGTATACA